GTTTGTAACTGTCTCCCACGTTCTTTAACAGTGAATGGCCACGTGTCTTGGCAGTTTCTGAACTCCTCAGGACTGTCTGGCGTGCGAGACAGTAAAACACTGTCTGGCGAGACAGTAAAACACTGTCTGGCGAGACAGTAAAACACTGTCTGGCGAGACAGTAAAACACTGTCTGGCGCGAGACAGTAAAACACTGTCTAGCAAGATAGTAAAACACTGTCTGGCGCCCGAGACAGCAAACACTTGTTTCTTGTGTTCTTTTGATCTTTGGATGATCTCCTCTTAAGCTGTATTTGGATATCTTTCAGCTTTTTTTGACGCCTACAGCGGGTCCTCAATCTTCTAAGGTAGTGCTTTGCGTGACTGCTACCCATATTAGGCCAGTTTTCTGTTTAATTATTTTTCGGATTTATATGCATGCTAATAAGATAAATTGATAACACATTTAACAACAAACTACGATTTTTCTCTACACTATCCATTTAATATTCGATATCTATTCATTTAACAACAAATTGCGGAGGTAGAGATGTACAGAGACGGATGTGGCGAAGTCGAGGGACGATTGAGGTGCCAATGAAGAGCTCGATTCTGAGATGAAGAGATCGTTGAGAGTCGAGACTCGAGGGGGGTAGGGGAGAAAACATTGAGGGGCGAAGAGATCGCCAAGACTCGAGGAAGAAAGATAGCATCGAGACTCGATGCGAGTGGGGGAAAAGGGCGAGGGCCGAGGCGAGCCTACTGACGGGGGAATAGAAGAGAGCCAACGTGTATGTGTGTTGGGGGGGGATTCGTCCGAGGTGCCGACACCGACTAGGAAGAGAGAGGAGAGTACACAATCTACTAATGGGGAAGAGAACTGATGGAATTAGGTTAGAGGCAGAAAGAACAGAAAGCCCTAGAATCCATATTTTAGTATTTATATGGGGTAACCTTTGTAAATAAAAATTTAGATAGGTAAAAACTATTATTTACAATAAGTTCAATTAATAGGGCTAAAATATAAAATGTTATCGAATAATTAATAATCAACAAAATCGAACATACCTTTGGTTAAAATGTAAAAAGTTAGCAAATAGTTAATAATCAACAGAATTGAACATACATTTGGTTAAATTTCATTCATTTATAAGCCGAATACTAAAAGTTAGTTGTTTAGCACTAAATGAACGATCAAATCGAACTTGACCGAATATCTTAGCGAATAATAATTGAACTATTTATTAATTATTTTGTTCACTTCCACCCCTAATAGACACATAGGAGGTCTTAACCCATATTCATAGTTCTTTCTTTTTATTTGTTTTTTCTTGGATGGTTTAGTTGGCGGGGGTCAACTGAATGGAAAGAATTAATTTATACAATGTTTTGTCATATTTTTTTTCGTTTTCCCTGACAAAAAAGTAATTAATTCTAACAACTTAATTGTAAGGTTGTTATAAGTCTAAATTTCACAAAATATAACACTTTTTATTAGGAAATTTATTAGAAAAATAATTCTAGTGGTGGGTCAATATTTCCACCCACATTGATGCCGTCATTAATCAAATTAACATCATCCGTATTAACATACCAAGACCAAGTATCCTACAGATTGTCAATGTCTAGATGCTATTATTCCATGCGTTGTTTTTCCTTTTTTTTTGGGAAAAGAATGATTATATTTCTTATTATGAATAATGATCCCTTAGGCCCCGTTTGACAAAGGGTTAACGAAGAGGGGTTAAAGAGAATGATTAATGTACTTAGCCCATTTGATAATCCGAATGACTAAATTATTAACCCGTTAAATAAGTTTTATTTTAGCCCTTATGATCAGTTTTAGTGTTTGGGAATAACAATGATTTTGACTATTTTCTTTATAATTAGAAGGGTTAACTCTTATTCCATCTAAATAGGAGTATTAGTAAACCCCTCATTTTGAGGGGTTAACTCATTTTAACCATTCTAGAGGGGTTAACTTAACCCTTCTATATTTTTTATGTTTGGCAAATTATGGAGGGTTAACTCACTTTAACCCTTATATAGATTTGTTGTGTTTGGCAGGTTAAGAAAGGGTTAGGTCTCCTTAACCCCTCACTTAACCCTTTGCCAAACGGTTAGAAATCAAATTTCTTACTATGAATTCAATGCAAATTTCCTATAGTGTTTTCTTAAATTGAACTGTCTATTTTGTCGTTATATAGCCGTCTATGTTTGGGAAATGTTATAATTCCTAATCACTATGAAAATAGAAATAATATGATTTATGAGAGTGTGCATTAGTTAAAGGTCACTCAATATAGTCCAAAACTATCAAAATCAAACTTTATGACCCTCTAGAATCAAATACACACATTTCACAACATTTTTCTCAATATACTTTTTTTTTCCTCAAATTTACGGTCACCATCAGAGCAAAACTCCACCACACTCAAACTCTGCTACACTTTTAGATACTTTACCGTGGACCCTGCTTAAGCACAGACTTAGCCAAAAGAATAAGCTTTCCTCATGCTCTAAATATTTGCCACATGTCCATATTCTTTAAAGCTTTAAGCCTTTATTTTTAATAAAAAATGGACTAATTTATTTTAGGTCCACTCATTTGGATCTTGTGGCTGGCGGGTCAAACCTGTGGACCCGTTTGATCCAACGGCTAGTAATTATTTGGTAGAGGGTTGTTTTTTCGGTCTCTTTCTGTTCTCCTTGATTAGTAATGAGAAGTAAGTGCTAATTAGCAATTAAGAGGTCCTATTACCAAAAATTAGGATTGGCATTATTTGAAGCTAAATGGGTTTGGATTCAGAATTAAAATCCGATAGTTGATAACTTGATATGGGTTTGCAATTTACACACTTGAGGTGTCATTAAATGGAAAAAAAAAGAGTTTTTTAAAAGTTAGTTTTTCCTTTTCTTTTTTTAGTTTTTAAAGTGAGGCACGGTAAATAGTTGCAAAATAGTAGGCTGGAGAGGAAATAAGAAAAGATTATTGTGGGTGTAAAAAATACATACCGTTAAATAATATTTTTTTATCACGGAGGAAACAATTATTATTTTGAAGATAATCTTTCAGGTGCAACTTGAAGGTTCATAGAGAAACCTTTTCAAGAAATAAATTTAATATAACTTAAATTTTCCATGGAACTTTTAGTTTATCATCCATCTCAATATTAGTAGATATACACATTAATATAAATTCATCCTAATGATATAATAAAGAATCTAAAGATAGACATTTGAGAGTGACGAAAAACAGAAGCCAATAAGGATTCACTTAGTAATTGATCAATAATTTCTAATTCTGCTAAGTATTTCAAATTTGGAAATAAGCCATTCTTTAAAAAAATCATGATTTCCTGTAAATCTTGGTTCTGTATAACCCATGGTAGGAAGCAAGAAATAAATCTCGGAAAAAAAATTTAATACAATTACCCAAAATAAACTAAAAAAACCAAACTCGGATGCATTACGTTACAGGATTCAAATTGAATCCGACCCGTTAAAAGCCGTAGGCCCCCACAGCTGTGGGTGCGTGTACAGACATCCAACTCAACAGCTGCCAGGTTGTTGCCGAAGTCCGTAGAAGGAAAGAATAAATAACTAAAATAATTTTTTTTTTAAAACCAATAAGAAATGAATAGAATAATAAGATTTAAAGGCGTCGGTGAGCTTTAACAATCTGTGCCCTATTTAAATCTTGGTGGCGTAATAAGAGAGACAATCAAACTCTAGAGAGAGAAGCTAGAGAGAGAGAGAGAGAGAGAGAGAGTTTCTCTCTCTTCAATGGCGGAATCAAGCGACTCAGTTTCCATCGATGTTGAGAGAATTTCTTTTGGGGGAAAGGTTAGGGTTTTGAAATCTTTGATCTTGCCTTTATTTGGGGCATTGTTTTTAGTTATTTTTATAGTTTTGTTTACTTTATGGGAGTTTAATTTAGTTCTTGAGCTATTATTATGAGAAATTTGATTTTTTTCTTTTACGGTTTCTTGATTGTTGGTTGTTTTACAAGGGATAATTTGTGTAAATGTTGGATTCTTAGGTTATTTTTGATGTACTAATTAGAAATGTGGTGATTACTGGGTTTCCTTTATTGTTGTAAATTGCAGGTAAAATGTGACAATGGCGATAGTGAGAATCTTGAGATTGGTCAAATTCAAAATTTTGGATTGATAATGAGTTTATTATGATTTAGTATCTCAGTATAACAAATTGGAGAAGCCCTAATGATAGTTATTTTTAGCTCTCTGTGGTAATTTTATGTTTATGCAAATTCAAATGTGGATCTCATAAAAACCATTCAAGTCTTTTGTTGGTTGTATAGAATGCAGAATGCTGAAGAGGCGTAACCAATGGTGAATGTGATTCTTTTTACTTGAGTTATCAGCAAACAAGAATTCTTATGCCAGTCATTATTTAATTGTACCAGCAGACAAACCATTCCACCATTTATCAATATCTTCAGCTACTGAAAGTTGGTGCACTCTACAGTTTTGAACCCTGTTCGATTAGTGTAGAAGATAATATTTCCGTTCTCCTATTATTGTTATCTTAGATGAATTTGGATTTTATTCCTGTGTTATGCAAAATTAGAGACACCCTTAAATACCTTTATAAAATTACTTGCATGTAGCCAAATAAATCCTGCTTTTGTGCCTTCAGGAGCATATCGTACAAACAAGTTGTGGCCCATTATGCGTTTCGGTGTACGGAGATCAAGAGAAGCCTGCACTTGTTACTTATCCTGATGTAGCTCTAAATTGTAAGTATGTAAATAATTCAGCTCTTGTTAAGTGCTTCATATCTTCTGTTACTATACACTATTTGAATTTGTTTCCTATCAAATATATGACCAATGTTTTAACATAATAGTTCAGCAATCTTCCTGCATTTGATATATTCTTCTTCTCACTTTTATGGTATTAAAGTGTGTTTATATGCTTTCGTGGATTGAGCAGACATGTCTTGCTTCCAAGGATTATTTTTTTGGCCTGAAGCTTCTTCTTTGCTGCTTCAAAATTTTTGCATTTATCACATAAGTCCTCCTGGACATGAGGTTTGCAATTTTGTTTTAATTTGTACAAGCCATAAACTGCTCATCTTTCAAACCGCTTATTCAAATTTTCCCTATTCGAGTTTCTCAGTTGGGAGCTGGTCCAATTTCTTCAGATGTGCCAATCCCTTCTGTTGATGAACTTGCAGATCAGATTGCAGAAGTTCTTGATCACTTTGGGTAACATTTTAGCACTTCTTAGTCTTCAGTTTAATCAAAGAGCTATTGCTCAACTCTCTTTCTCTTAGTTAAAATATTCTATTTTCAGGTTAGGTCCAGTGATGTGCATGGGAGTTACAGCTGGTGCCTACATTCTTACACTTTTTGCTGTAAGTTCCTGTACACGGTGCTTGTGCTGCAGCAGCGACTGTAAATTTTGAACTAACTGTTTTCTATGAATTTGATTCAGACGAGATATAGAGAGCGGGTTCTTGGTCTGATACTTATCTCGCCTCTGTGCAAAGCACCCTCATGGACAGACTGGTTGTATAACAAGGTAATGTTTATGATTCATTTTCTCGATATTCTTGCATCATAAAAATCTTTCACACTGATTAATGAATCATAATCCTCAGGTTATGTTGAATATGCTCTATTATTACGGCATGTGCAGTTTGATAAAGGAATTCTTACTTCAAAGATACTTCAGTAAGGTATGCTGAAAATACGCATGGTGTAAGATCATTAATTCAGCTTGCTGACAGTCATTTGAATTCATTGCTCTTCTTGTGTGTTGAAAGGAAGTGCGAGGTGGTCCTCAGGTCTTAGAATCCGATATAGTACAAGCCTGTAGAAGTGTAAGAAGTTTTAACATACCTTAATTATTCTTCCTATTTTTATCTGAAGATAAAGCATAACTTGATTCTAATTACTGTTCAGTTGCTAGATGAGAGACAAAGTACAAATGTTTGGCGGTTTCTACAGTCAATCAATGCGTACGTAGTCAAATTTTTTTGTTCTACTAAACTGCTACTTTAATAACCATTCTAAAAATGCCATCTCACTATGTGTGTGTATTACGTGCTACAGGCGACGGGATATTACAGAACAGTTGAAGAGATTACAGTGCAGAACATTAATATTTGTGGGTGAGAACTCCCCTTGCCATTCAGAAGCCCTTCACATGGCCTCCAAGCTGGACAAAAGATATAGTGCCTTGGTTGAGGTATTGAATTATCTATCTGATTCTATGTTACCAAATTTCCAATTGTTATCATGAGGTTGTTCCCAATTGCAAGGAATCATTAGTGCATCCTAACTGGTGGCTTAGGTGGTGTTTGTTTCAAATCCTATAATTTTAGGATATGGATTTCACCATGGGATTTGAAATCCATAGGTGTTTTGTTATGAGTTGGGATTTCTAAAATGTTGTTTGTTTCATTAATATTTTGGAATTTGGAATACTACAATTTATAATATTTTGTTTGTTTCAAGCTCAAATTGTAGCATTCTATGAAGC